ACACACACACACACACACTGCAATTTGGTCCATGTCCTCTCCTTGCAATTTCTTGGGTTTCAGCTTCAGTGTCACCGCGAGAGGCCTTCCTGCCTACCCTCTCCAGCTAGCCAGACTTCTGGCAGGTTGGCTTGGCGCACAGGGATCACTCCAATGGTGGCATGAATGAATTCACTGGGAGTGCTCTGAGAGGAGAGAGTGAACTGGAGCTAGCAGCAGGCTTACGGGGAAGGACTGGGGTGAACAGCAGGGGCCCATCATACCCCAGGGGGCAGATCAGGCATCCTGGACCTAAGGAGAGCGCCCCTCCTCGCTTCCTGGAACAGGAGATGTCAGGGACAAGCACCCAACTGGGTTCTCGGTTGCTCTGCTGTCTCTGGCACCTCCTGGGCCACAGCAGAGGGGGAGCACCCATGAGAGGGTAAGTGAGTGCAGAGAACCCCCCCAGCTCACTGATTTGTGGTCTTTTCCTTCCTACCACCCCATGTTCCCCCCCTTTCTTTTTTTGCTTTTTGGGTGACACCTGGCAATGCACAGGGGTTATTCCTGGTGCATGCACTCAGGAATCACTCCTGGTGGTGCTGGGAAGACCATATGGGATGCTGGGAATCAAACCCACATCAGCTGCGTGCATGGCAAATGCCCTACCCTCTGTGCTATTGCTCTAGCCCCCAATACCCCCCTTTTTTGGTGCTCAGGGCTAGTCCACATGCTCTGGGGACCATGCAGTGCCAGGGAGGCTGGGGGGAACCCAAGACTCTAGGCTGTGCCCTGATGCTCTCCCCAGACTCCTGCCCACCTGCTTGGCTCAGAGCTGAGCGAGTTGGTTCACCACAATATTCTTGGTCCTGTGCAAGGGCCAGGCACAGACAGGGGTTTCACCAGTGGCCAGTCAGCTTCCTGGCTTGGACCCCCAAGTGTGATTTCTGGATGCCTGTCATCTTGCAGGGGTGTGATCTGCCCCACGGGTGCTCTTCTCTGGGTCCTGCAGGGAGCTGGCTCCTCCGCAGACCCCAGGTGAGTCACAGAGCCCCCTCTCCTCACACCAGACCCTGGCACGGTGGGGGCTGGGAATGCAGCCTGGCGTCGGGGCTGAAGCAAGCGGCCTCATCCCGGAACCTTGACAGCAGGTCGGGGCAGTGGTCTTGAACGGAGAGGAGGAAATCCGGAGGTTGAGTCATTCCCCCTGCTCTGTAGGCCAGGCAACCCCTTGTGCAACCTTCCCCCTGGCTGAAAGGAAGGTGCAGGATTCTCCTGGGCTGCCAGCACCTCCCCTGCCTGCTCCGGAGCCCCCTTCCAGCCCACTCTATTGTCAAATTTGGTTTCCTTCACAGAAGGGCCACGCGTGATGGTGCTGGGGAGGAACGTGCACGCGCCCTCCCACGGAGCATTTCCACAGCCCATAACCCTCACCCCGCACTTAGAAACAAAAGGCTTCCAAATGGAGTCATTCATGCAGAGCCCCACCAACACATTAATAATACCTGCCCCACCGGCAAGTGAAAGCTTTTCTATTATTTATTTTGGGGGTTGGGGCCACATCCGGTGGTGCTCAGAGCTTACTTCTAGCTTGGCGCACAGGGATCACTCCTGAAAGTGGTCAGGGAACCGGATGGCATGCCCGAAACCCAACCAGAGTTTGCTGTTCAAGATGATACTTACCTGCTGTTCTATCGCTCCAGACCCCAAGGCAAACACTGAAACCAACCAATCAGGAATTTCCTGGTCAACACTAAGGAGATCACCTATGTGATAAGAACCCCCACCCCCTCCACCCAATGCCTGCCCTAGTGGAAGGGATTTTGCCAAAGTTTTACTTACCTTTGGCAAACACCCTCGTCCCACCCTCTTTCTGTCTCTAACAACCTTCCTCTCACGGTAACGTTTTGCCTCTCTTCTTGCTAGATGGATGCTGCCCAACTCACGATTCATTAACCCAACTAGGTCTTTAGATGAGCTCACCTGTGTTTTTGTTAGTTAACACCATGTAGCGAGGTCTGGATCTGCCTGCCCACCAGACATGGGGAAGGGGGGTGCAGAGACCAGAGGTGGGGAGTTGGTGCCTGAGGGAACCCGAGACAAAGGAAGGAGAAAGAGTACAGGGGAGGCAGGAGTGAGTGCAGGGAAGGCAGGTGTGAATACAGGGGAGGCAGGGTGAGTGCAGGTGTGATAGAGGCAGGTGTGAGTACAGGGGAGACAGATGTGTGTGCAGGTGTGGCAGGTGTCAGTGCAGGGGAGGCAGGCGTGAGTGCAGGTGTGATAAGGGAGGCAGGTATAAGTACAGGTGTGACTACATGTGTGACAGGTGTGAGTGCAGGTGTGATAAGAGAGGCAAGTGTGAGAGTACAGGTGTGAGTGCAGGGGAGGCAGCTGTGAGTGCAGGTGTGACAGGTGTGAGTGCAGGTGGTAAGAGAGGCAGATACAGGTGTGAGGACAGGTGTGACAGGTGTGAGTGCAGGTGTGATAAGAGAGGTAAGTGTGAGTACAGGTGTGAGTGCAGGGGAGGCAGCTGTGAGTGCAGGTGTGACAGGTGTGAGTGCAGGCGATAAGAGAGGCAGATACAGGTGTGAGGACAGGTGTGACAGGTGTGAGTGCAGGTGTGAAAAGGAAGGCAGGCGTGAGTGCAGGTGTGAATGCAGGTGTGACAGGTGCAAATGCAGGTGTGACAGGTGTGAGTGAGGGGAAGGCAGGTGTGAGTGCAGGTGCGACAGGTGTGAGTACAGGTGTGCGAAGGGAGGCAGGTGTGAAGGCAGGTTGCCCAGCAGTGGGAGGCTCTGACCTCTTTCCCTGGAGATGTGCTGATGGGGGGAGAGAGAGGACTGGGAGGGACCATACCCGAGGGTCCTTCTCAGAGAAACATCCCTGTGTGTGAGAAGAGATCCAAGGGCTCCCCCAGCAGTGCTCTGGGGCTCAGGGAGCCCATCCTGGCGGCACTGGGCTGGTGTTTCAGTCTGACAGATTGGTACCCCAGCCTGGTGCTGGGATATGCCGGCCCAGAGTGCTGGGGACAGCAGGAAAGGTTGTCAGTGCTTGTCTTGGTGCTTGGGGTGGCTCCTGGTGGTGGAGGACCACGTGGGGCCAGAGACAATCCCGGCCACTTGTATGTCATGTCTATGCGCAGTCTTTTGAGCTCTCTGTCCCCATCTCCCTTGGTGACTGACTTCTCAGCAACAGCCTGTTGAAAGGTTCACGTTCCCTCTGGGTGCTGTCCGTCTGTGAGGGTATGTGTGAGCGTGATGGGAAGGGGATGGGGGGAGAGCTATGGAGCTATCCAAGGCCTTTCATCACCCCTCCTCTTGCCTCAGCTGTTTTAGCTATAAACATGTCTCACCCTATCTGCCGCCTGAGAGCAAGCCCACAGATGATCTCTCTCTCTCTTTTTTTTCTGGGGGGAGGGGGCACACCTGACATGCTCAGGGTTTGCTCCTGGCTCTGCTCTCAAGAATCACTCCTGTCTGTGCTTGGGGGAACCATAGGGGATGCTGAGAATTGAGCCTGAGCCAGCCGTGTGCAAGGCAAGTGCCCTACCCACTGTACTATCTCTCAGGCCCCACCAGCTGATCTTAGAGTCATTTCTGTAGTCCTTGGAAATCTGTCTTTAGTGGGCTCCCTTGGGTTCTGCCTCTAACCCATTGTGGGACTCTGGCCGAGTACCTTCCCCTCTCTGGGGCCCCTGTTTCCTCAACTGCAAAATGAGAAGTTCAGGAGACTTTTGAGGTCCAGAATGACATGCTATTTCCTGCTTACCCATTTACCGGCAAGCATGACAGTGACCTGGGGTGGGAAACCCTCTGCTCCCATTTTTCAGATGAAGAAAATGAGGCACAGAAAACAGTAAGTGGCTCAAGGCCATCGAGTGGGGTAAGCAGCTAAGGGGAAGGGAGGCAAGGTCCCTGGCAGGGTTCCACGGAGAGGAGAGCTTCCAGCCGGGACTCCACTGGCATGATCCATGGTCTCTGCCCCCACCCACTAGCGCCTGTTCAAACTGCCCAAGGCCACCTGTTATGGAGCTGAGTCTGGAGGACGAGCAACAGACGGGAGCGGGCAGGTGGGCAGCGGGGTTCAGGAGGGGCTTCTGAAGGGAGCTGAGGCTGCAGGACTAGAGAGAAGGGACAAGTGACCACGTGTAAGGGACTGCCAACAGAGTCTTTCCTCCTGTCTCCTGGGCGAGAGAGAGCAGGTCATCAGGGGTGGCCCCAAGGGGCGGGAGGCTCTGCAAGCCAGAGGGCAGTTAGAGGGTATCCCCTGGACACTGTAGATCCTGGATTGGGGTGCCGAGCAGATGGGGGTTGGGGAGTGTTACAGACTCACCTTGTCCACTCTGGTGTTAGCGAAGGGACAGAAGGAAGCAGCCCCAGCCACAAGCATTTCCTGTCCTCGGAGTCCCCCATGTCACAAACACGTACACAAGGACACGTACGCATGCACGCATGTGAGCACACACATACAAGGTGTGTCAACGAACAAAGACAGAGGCACAAACAGGAATACACTTACAAGGCATATCTATTAACACACACACGGGGCACGCACATAGGCACACACGTACACATGCACGCACTCGAGCACACACATACAAGGAATGTACATGAACACACACACAGGGGCACACACACAAACACGTACACATGCATGCACGCACCCGAACACACACATACAAGGCCTGTCCATGAACACACACACAGAGGCACGCACACAGGCACACACATACAAGGCCTGTTCATGAACACACACACAAGGGCACACACACAGGCACACACGTACACATGCACGCACGCAAGCACACACATACAAGGCGTGTTCGTGAACACAGACAGAGACACACACAGACGCACACATACACACGCAGGCCCGCAGGCGCCGCACCCCCAGCCGCAGCGACAGCCCCATCACTGAGTCCTAGTGCAATTTTATTCAGCCACAGAACGGTTGCTCCGGGGCCAGCCCCCGCCCTCGCCACCCGCTGCCACTGTCCCAGCTCTGAGTCCCAGCCCGGCCCCCAGCTGAGTGGGGCGCCCCAGGAGGCCCCCTCAACTGCAGCCCCCGACGCCCTTGATGAGGTTGGCGGCCTCGGGGATCTGGCGGAAGAGGTTGCGGAGCGTGTCCAGCTCCTGCGTGAGCTGCTCCACGCGGCTGCGCAGACGCTCATTCTCGGCCATGTACTCCAGCACCTTCTGCTGCGTCTCCAGGATGCGCCTCTTGGCCTTGTCGCGGCTCTTGCGCACGGCGATGTTGTTGCGCTCGCGCCGCAGCCGGTACTCCAGGCTGTCCTTGTTCACTGCCTTCTTGCCCTTGTGTGCGGGGGCGGCCGGGGAGGGCGCCTTGAGGAGGGGGCTGCATGGGGCGCCCGACGCGGACAAAGGGGCCTGGAGAGCAAGTCAGGAGGGACCAGCTGATCACGGGCTGAGTATGGTGCACGGGGACCCACACTCCCTTTGGGGCCCCCTATGCTCCGAGGACACTTTCCTCCTATCTGTTTTTTGTTTCTTGTTTTGTTTTTTTCAGTGGGGGCCACACTAGGTGATGCTCAGGGGTTACTCCTGGCTCTGCACTCAGGAATTCCTCCTGGGGTTCTCCGGGAACCCTATGGCAAGCGAAGGATCCAAACTGTGTGCAAGGCAAACGGCAAACGTCCTCCCCCGCTGTTCTATTTCTCTGGCCCCCATCTGCTTTTTTTTTTCTTCCTTTTTTTCTTTTTGAGCGGGGATCAGTGGCACTGGCTGTGCTCAGGGCTTAAAAATCCCGACTCTGTGCTCAAGGCTCACACCTGCTGGGGCTCCCGGTACCGTATGTGGTGCTGGGGATGGAATCAGGTCAGCAGGGTGCAAGGCAAGCCCCCTCAGCCCTGCCCGACCTCCTCCAGCCCCCTTGGGTCTGGCCGGGAGCTCCAGTTCTCCACCGTGGAGGAGCTGCTGGGCAGCTGACTGGCAGGTGGAAAGCCTGTGCCCAGGGCTGGCTGGCGCTGGGGGGCCTGGGGGTGGCAGGGTGCCAGCCATACGGTGGGATTCAGGGCCGGCATGAAATCAGAGAAGCAGAAAGGGGGACGATGGGTGGTTTGGATCCGGCCCAAGACCCCCCACCCCCGCTCTTCCTCCGGAGGCGCCCCCAGGCCCCCGTCCAGCCCCGGCCCTCGGGGACCAGAGCTGCCCTTACCTTGAGCACGCGCAGGGGCTGGCTGGGCGGCGCCAACGCAGGCGGCAGGTGCATGGCTGTCTGTCCGCAGTGAGCTGCCTGGTACTGCAGAGGGTTGTAGCTGCCCCGTGCAGCCCCGCGGCTGCCCTCCGGGGCCCGGGGCTCCTCCTTCACGGCCACGGCCCGCGGGTCATAGCTCCCGGGGCTGCTGTAGATGCCCGGCCCTAAGGCCTTGCGGTCGGGTCCGAAGGTGTGCGGCGGGTAGGCGTAGGGCCGGGGGTCTGGCGCCAGGTAGTGGGGGAAGGCCGGGGCGCCGGGACCCTTGAGGCCGCGGCTCTCCTGGGCTGGCTTCACCGCGAAGAGGTCGGACAGCAGCTGCTCTTCGCCCGACTCGATGTAGGCAGACAGGTCGATGGACGCCTCGTGCTCGCACATGTCCCCCAGCTCCCCGGGCGCCGAGCGGCCCCCCGAGAACTCGAGCGGCTGCTGGCCAGCCCGGGGCTCACACTCGTAGTAGGTCCCGTGGGACATGGCCGTCCCGCCCCCTCGGCTCCCCGCCCCCGCTGCCCGGCTCTGGGGGCACCTCTGCGGGTGCTGGCCGGCCCGGCTCTGCCCCGCTCGGCTCCCCTCGCCCCCGACTCCCGTGTGGCCTCGCCTCCCTCTGCCGCTTTCTTTTCCTTCCTCTCTCTCGTAGATGCCTCTTTTCTCTTCCCTTTTTTTCCCCCCCTCTCCTGGGGGGTGACTCAGGGAGGGGCAGAGAGTAGGGTGCAGGTCTCTGAGAAACAGGGCACCTGTCCTGGCCGCCAGTGCAGTAGGGGGTCACTCTGGGGTCAGGCTCTGCGGCTTCTTGGGGCGCTTGGCCCCTCCCCGAGTGCTGGGGCCTTCAGACCCGGCCTCCCTCCTGCCTCCTCCGGGGGCTGTGCGGGGTGCGGAGCCATGAGAGAATGGAGGAGTAGACCCTCCTGCAGCCCGACCCCCAGCCTGGGCTAGGCTCCGCCCTCCACCCCCCTCTGGCAGTCCCCCTGGTGCTGGGCTCCACCTACCCACGGTGTGCATGGTGTGTGTGTGTGTGTGTGTATGTGTGTGTGTGTGTGTGTGTGTGTATGGGGGGGTGCTGTTAGCCTGTTCCAACCACATCTCCCAGGCCATGCTCCTGGCTGCAGGCTGGAGGGGACTGTGTGAGGGGCTTGGAGCTGAGTGACCGGCTCGGGGACAGGTCAGGGGGGGCACCCTGGAGCAGACTGTGTGACCGGGGTCCAAGCCATGGGGCAACCCACATATGCTTCCAGCCTTGGCTCACTCTGGCCTCTAGCACGGTCCCCGGCTGCCCAGGCCCTGGTGGCTCAGGACCTGGCCCTGTGCCGCAGGCCCTCAGCCAGCTGCTGCCCCCCTCTGGTGACACTGTGCTGCTGCAGCCAGGGAGTTGGCACCAGGCTCCATTTCCTGTGGCCCGGCCACAGGCCCCCAAGCTCTCATCACCCCTCCACCCCGCCCCTGCACCGCCATTGTCTGACCTCCTGCGCGTCTCTTCTGCCCACTTCCTCTTCTGAGGCTTGAGGAGCTTTCTCTATTGCCGTCACCTCTTCCTGGGGCTTCCTGTGGGTCTGCTGGGGTCTGCTTTCCCTTCCCTCACCTTTTCTTCTGGGTACTCCCCACTCCCTCCCTGCAGAGGGAAGGCCGGCTCTGACCGCTCAGATTCCTTCTCCAGGATGGGTCCTAGGGCCAGTAAAAAGGAAAGGCACCTAGGACCCTGGCCTGCTGTGCGTTTCTGATAGTGAGCCAGAAACTCTGTCCACTGGGCCACAGCTGAGGCGCTTCCCTGCATGTCTCTGCACCCGGCAAGGCTCAGGAGTCACTCCTGGCTCTGCATTCAGGAATCACTCTGGATGGTGCTCAGGGGACCATATGGGGTGCCGGGGTTTGAACCCGGGTCAGCCGCATGCAAGGCAAACGCCCGACCCGCTGGACTATGACTTGGGCCCTCTGGTTCTCTATCCCTAGTAGAGGTCGTAGGAACCTGTGGGGGTGCAGGTCTTGTACATGGACATGCCAAAGGTCAGGCCATGGAGGGACACATGCAGCAGGAACAGGTGTGGCAATGAAGACTAAAATTATTAAATTAATAGTATCCTTGTCCTGGGTGAAATACAGCAATCTTCACACACTTTCCTCTAAGGAAACCTTTTTTTTTTTTTTTTGCTTTTTTTGGGGTCACACCCGGCAATGCACAGGGGTTACTCCTGGCTCATGCACTCAGGAATTACACCTGGCAGTGCTTGGGGGACCATATGGGATGATGGGAATCAAACCCCGGTCGCCCGCATGCAAGACAAATGCGTTACCTGCTGTGCTATCGTTCCAGCCCCTCCTCTAAGGATCACTTTCAGCAGTTTATTCATAACAAACAATACAAAATGAATTATTTCAGTTCTGCTTTGGGGAGGGGTTGGGGCTCAGGATGGAAATATCCCAAATATGGTGGTGGGAAGGTGTTATGGTGGTGGGATTGGTGTTCAATTTTTTTTTTCTTTTTGTGTCTTACCTGGCATTGCACAAGGGTTGGTTACTCCTGGCTCATGCACTCAGGAATTACTCCTGGCGGTGCTCAGGGGACCATATGGGACGCTGGGAATCAAACCCAGGTTGGCCACGTGCAAGGCAAATGCCCTACCCACTGTGCTATTGCTCCAGCCCCCCGGTGTTCAAATATTAAATGTAGACAAATATTGTGAACTACTTTATAAAAATAATATTAAAAATTCATCACAGAATTATGGAAAATGAGATCTTGGAAATCCTTGATCCCACTATTCAGATGGAATATAAATAAAAAAATGCCCAACCTGTTCATTTTCAAGGGAAAAAATAATAAAATTAATAGTACTGGCAAAGGTCCCTTCTTAGAGGGGTCGTCTTCCTCCCCACACCTGTACCTGCCCTCAGAGCCTTTTCTGTTTAGCTTGAGGTTATCTCTGCTGTTCTGCTCTGGCATGTGGAGATATGTGTGCCTCTGGAGATACAATGGAGGAACCTTGGGATTGGAGAGATAGTACAGTGGGTAGGATGTTTGCCTTGCATATGGCCAACCTGGATTCAATCCTCAGCATCCCATCTGGTCCCCTGAGCACCGCTGGGTGTGGTCCCAAAACAACAACAACAAAAATAGGGGCTGGAACCATAGTACAGCAGAGAGGGCGTTTACCTTGCATGTGACCAACCCAGGTTCGATCCCTGGCATCCCATATGGTCCCCCAAGCACCAGTAGGAGTAATTACTGAGTGCAGAGCCAGGAATAACACCTGAGCATTGCTGGGTGTGACCCAAAAAGGGAAAAAAACAAAACAAAAAATAGAACCCTGAGGTCAGAGAGAGGGCACAGCTGGTAGGGCGTTTGCCTTACATGTGGCCAACCTGGGTTCAACCCCTGGGACCACATGTGGTGAGCTCTACCAGGAGTGAGCACAGAGCCATGAGTAAGGCCCAAGCACCGCTGGGTGTGTCCCCAAACAAAACTAAGCTGAAACTGCTCCTTGTAGACAGCGACCCCAAACCCAGAGCGACTTCCCTTTAGCTGCAGTGCCCCTTAAGACCACTAGGTGGCAAGAACGCTCCAAGTTCTGGAACTTGGGGAGGGGGAATCAGGTGGACGGCAGGGGGCAGCCTCCCAAGACCCTGGCCCCTGGCAAGATCTCACAGCTGTCCAGAAGGAAGACTAGCACAGGTTTACAATGCGCTAGTAGAAGAGTGGGGGCAGGTTCAGCCCCTGGCATTGTCTCACTGAAGAAAAATGCTTTCTCCTCCTTGATTATGAAACAGTGCTGACGGTTCAGTCTTGTAATTTCTGCTCTTTCAATGATTGGAACATTCACTTTCCATCCTGACCATCTCCCTGGGAGGTGAGCAAGGCCTCGTGGGACTGGGGCAGTAGTGCATAGGGCTGGAGTCCCTGCGTTTCTGGGATAGGCTCTTGAACAGGTGTGGAAGCCCCTTCCCCCTTTAAATAATAATAATTAAAAAAAGCAAGGCAGATGGTATTTTTTTTGGGGGGGGGTCACACCTGGCAATGCACAGGGGTTACTCCTGGCTCTGCACTCAGGAATTACCCCTGGCAGTGCTGGGAATCAAACCCGGGTCGACCATGATGTGCAAGACAAGAGCCCTACCCGCTGTGCTATTGCTCCAGCCCCTAGATGGCATTCTTTATAGTTTTGGGCCCACATCTGGCGATGCTCAGGGGTTTCTCCTGACTCTGCACTCAAGACTCACTCCTGGCGGTGCTCGGGGGATTCTATGGGATGCTGGAACTCGAACCTGGGATCAGCGATGTGTATGTAAGGCAAGCGCCCTACCCACCGTACAATCTCTCCCCCCGTCCCCAGAGGGCATTTTCACCCCTGCCCTTTAACCCAGAGAAGGCTGAGCCCCACAAGGTCACGCGAGGATCCCCCAACCCCACTGGCCAGTGTCCCTGAAGCATGGGGAAAGGGAAAGGGGGAGTTGTGTGAGTCTTTGCTCTCTGTCAGCACCTCCACCCCCTGCCCCCCCCACCCCCAGGGGCGACTGCGTCAGTACAGGGTCAACTGGGCGCTGAGGAAGCTGGAGGACTGCAAACAGAGGTGGCAGGAAATGAAAACGGCTGGGCACTGGCTGTGGAGATAAGTGATCTCGGCCCCTCGCTGCCCAGGCTCGTGCTGACGTAGCTGGCGCAGTGACATCAGTGTCTCCCAGTAACCGAGGGGTTTGGACCGCAGGAGTCGGAGGGGGAGGAGGAAGGGAAGCTGGGCAGGAAGGGAGGGGGGCAGGCCATGCTCGCTGCCGAGAGCTTGGGGGGTTCTTGGTTTACCAGAGCTGCTGGCAGCACCCAGCTCTCCCAGCTGCGCTTGTGCCAGTGGAGAGGACTGGAGTGACTCCTCTAGCCCACAGGGGAGCAGGCCTGGAGCAGATGCAGCCTCTGGGCAGGGAGTCGAGAAGAGCAGTGTGCCGTGGCCCAGTGTCAGGCAGAGCCGGGCTCAGATCCTGCCGCGGTCACCAGCCAGTGCGGTGACCTTGGACAAGTGACTTAATCTTCCTTGTAAGATGACAGCCAGCGTGCTGGGCAGGTTCTTGGATTTAACTTTGAATGGGATGATAGGGCTGGAGGGAGAGAGCCCAGCAGGTGAGGAGGCACTTGCTTCTTGCCTGGCCCGCAGCTGGTCTGGGTTCAATCCCCAGCACCACATCACGGTTCCTCTGAGCCCGGCCAGGAGTGAGGCCTGGGCACAGCTGGACATGGCTCCTCAAAAAAACAAACAAACAAAAAAAAAAAACCACCATTATGTGCAGAATGCAGCTGGTTCGAGTAAGTGGCGCCTTCTCCTGCCCTTGCTGGGGCAGCCTCTGTGGCGGGTGTCTGCCTTCCGCGCACGTACTCTCGGAAGTCCACGGCGTGTCTGACGTCTGTTTACCAGCAATCTTATTTTTTTGCTTTGTGCTGAGGGATCACTGCTGGTGGGGCTCAGAGAGCCATATGAGCCGAAGGGATTTGAATCAGGGGGTCCCAGAGCCAAAGCCGTATGCAAGACAAGCTCCGTAATGTGGGTACTATTGCTCGGGCCCGTGCCCAAGCATGCCCCCCTTCTCCCTCTCCCAGTTTTTATATAGGGATCTTGGGGGATGGGGGTGGGCGTGCACAGCTAGTGGCACTCAGGGATCACTCCCGGCAGACTTGGGGACCATATGAGGTGTCAGGAATTGAACCTGGGTCAGCTATAGGCCCTCCCGTTGATCGTCGATTTGCTCGAGCGGGCCCAGTAACGTCTCCTTTGGAGACTTTGTTGTTACTGTGTCTGGCATATCGAATACTCTCGGTAGCTTGCCGGGCTCTCCAAGAGGGGCGGAGGAATCGAACTCGGGTCGGCCATGTTGGCTGCGTGCAAGGCAGACGCCCTACCCGCTGTGCTATCGGTCAGCTATGTGCAAGGCAAATCCCCTACTGGCTGTACTAGCGCTCCAGCCTCCAAGGTACTGATTTAGGAAACTTTATAACCAATGGGGTTGGAATTAGTACAGTGGTGAGGGCGCTGGTATGTTGGCATTTGGCCCAGCAACAAGGGCCTACAGGTTCAATGCACAGACCCAGCACGGTTAAGAGGTCATCAGGACCGCATTCTGCAGTGCAGTGTGTGTGTGTGTGTGTGCGTGCACACGCTAGTGATCTAACTCTGGGCCTTATGCGTTGCATGCATTCTAGTCCTTCGATTTTTCTTTTTGGCTACACCCAGTTATGTGCTTGGGAGTTGCTCCTGGCACTGCTTGGGGGTTACGTGGTACCCAGGGTCTTCGCATGCAAAGCACCCGTTGAGCCCTTTGGCATCTTCCCCTGGCCCCACTCCAGTCCTTTGAACTAGTTCCTTCACCCATACCATGACCCATGCCATGTTTGTTTGCTTTTTGAGTACTGCCAGAGCTTCTCCCAGAATCCCATGCTTGGGAATTGCTATTGCTGGTGCTCAGGGGACCATGAGTTGCTGGAGAATGAACCCAGGTTTCCTGCATGCAAAGAAATGAGCTCAGCAACCCATTAAGCCACCTTTTCAATGCAGACACACACACACCTTTTGTTTTGTGGCCACACCCAATGGTGCTCAGGAATCACTGCTGGAGGACTCAGGGGACCGTATGTGGTGCCAAGGATTAAACCTGGGTTGGCCACATGCAAGGCAAGCACCATACCTGCTGTATTTATAAGTCCCATTAACTTATTTGTTGAGCAACTATGTTATTTTATTTCTGGTACCAGAGATCAAACTCATCTTTGTATATTTGACGTATATGCTTTGTTTCTGGTTTCTATCTTTCCCCCATCAGTAAGTTAGTAAGTGCATGCAAAGCAGCTATCATTTCAATGACCTCCAAAAGGTTGCCACATTGCCTGAGATCAGAACTTCTAAAACTCCTAGTATTTAAAGTGACTGGCTTCATTCAAATAGGATAAAGGTTCAGGTTAAAAATAAATGTGTGGCTGGGGGTTGGAGCCATAGCACAGTGGGTAGGGCATTTGCCTTGCATGCGGCTGACCTGGGTTGGATCCCCAGCATCCCATATGGTCCCTGAGCACCGCCGGGAGTGATTCCTGAGTGCATGAGTCAGGAGTAACCCCTGTGCATCGCCGGGTGTGACCCAAAAAGCAAAAAAAAAAAAAAAAAAAGTGTGGGGCTGGAGCAATAGCTCAGCAGGTAGGGCATTTGCCTTAAACATGGCCAACCAGGGTTCAATTCCCAGCATCCCATATGGTCCCCTGAGCACTGCCAGGAGTAATTCCTGAGTGCAGAGCCAGGAGTAACTCCTGTACATTGCCGGGTGTGACCCAAAAAAAGCAAATAAATAAATAAATGTGTGTGTGGGAGAGATAAAATACAGTTTAGGCACTTGCCTTGAACATGGTCAACCTTGGTTTGATCCCTAACATCCCATATAGTCAACCGAGCACCATCAGGGATGATCCCTAAGGCAGGGCCAAGAGTAATCCCTTGGCATCATTGGCTATAGTTCCAACCCACCCCCAAACATGTGAGGACTCAAGAGTGCAATGGGTAAGGCACTTGCCTCGCACCCTGGTTCAATCCACAGCACCTCCTGTGGTCCCCTATGCCTGGGCAGGAGCAAGCTCTGAGCACTACCAGTTGTAGCCCCAATCCCCTCCCCACTAAAAAAAAAGCGTGCTGGCCAGGGGGCTCCCTACATTTGTGCATTTGACAGGATTAGAAAGATCTGGGAGTGTAACCTCTCACACAGAAAGAGGCCCACCTCCTCCTAGAAGTGTCTCCTTGGCATGAGAGATGGGGGTATGGGAGTATATCTGCTGGTACATGGCAAAGACTTGGCAGCCTGGAGGAAAAGAACTGTGTTGGGCGGGGGGGGGGGGGGGAGGTCCCCCTGCAGGCCTGGGACCTCTTGCATAACTGGTCCCTAGTCAGGCTTCCCTCCCTTACAGGGAACACCCTAACAGAGCTGAGATTGAGGGACTCTCATGAGGTTCAGCCTCCCCCCAACTCCCTCTTCTGAAAACGCCGAATAGGTTATGTGACTTGCCCAAGGGCACACAGCTGTTCCAGGGCTGCCAAGTGTCTGTCCCAGTGCATGGCTGCCAGCCACAGAACCTGCAGCGCAGTGTGCTGGCGCCTGGCCAGAGTTGGGTCGTGTGGCATCGCGCCTGCTGTGTCCTCACCGCATCCCAGATGGTGAAGGGTGACGTGTTCAGCCCCAGACACCCCCAGACCTCCGTCATCATTGCTGGCTCTGGAATCATGCTGACCCAGACACGGGCCTGGAGGGCTGCAAGCTAGTGCCCTCTGATGCCCGACTCCCCCAGCCCACACCCAGGGCGGCAGGGAAAGCCCATCCTTCCCAGCACTGCTCTCAAGACCCACAATTGCAAGCCTAAAGTTGCCCTGGAGTTTGCTTTTTGGGTCACACCTGGTGATGCACAGGGGTTACACCTGGCCCATGAGCTCAGGAATTACTCCTGAAGGAACATCCTTCCTCCACTCAGCTCGGCGTCCTCACCCTGTCCCCCAAGTCCATCTCGTTGTGCTGATCGATGCTTCTACCCATCAGGATGCACAGAGCTCGCCTCCTCCTCCCAGAAGACAGGGGAGCTGGTTGGGTGAAGGTGAGGTTGGAGAACACTAGTACGGGCTGCACAGGGCTCACAGGGGGGTCGGGAGTGAGGTGAGCCTTAGGGAACGTGGGTCGGGAGAGCCTCTGAAGACAGGAAATGCCTGGCCGCCCTGCCCAGGAAGGTCACTTCACTACCACCACCACCAACTTCATTTCAATTGAAGTTTTATTACGTCAAAAGGAAAAAAAACCTCCACAACAAAACAAAACAAAACACCTCTAAAACCTATACAAACTCAAGGACAGAAGATTATTATTTTTCCGGGTCTAACTACACTCCCCCTAACCCCCCCCCCCCAAAAAAAAGACAAAACAAAAACAAAAAACCCAAAAAACACCCACCAAACTTACATTAAAAAATCCAAAAGAAATAGAAATGCTAGCTTCAAAAATATTTATCCAAAAAGTAAGGCATCCACTTTACAAAACAACAGTAATGGGAGGAAGGGGGGAGAGGAATGAGACAGAGAACAAAGAGGATGGAGGATGGCAATGGACCTTCAGTGGGCCAGCCCGGGCACCCTGGGCGGAAGGGACCCAACCTGGCCGCTCACCCGGTGGGCTGAGGCGGGGGAACCCCTGACACGTATATTCCAGTCGCAGCAGAGGGTCTGGTTTCCAATTAAAGGCTCCCTTGCATGCAGCGGTGGGTGGTCCACGGCTCATGGCCGGAGGCTGGCACTGGCTGGGCCTCGCCATGGGTGGCCAGCTGTCCCCCAGCTGTCACTGGCGTGGGGCGGGGGAGCCTGGGCCCTGCTGCTGGGCACTGAGGAGGGGGTATTTTTAGGCCAGGTCTTGGACGGGAGAAGAGTTAAGGCTGATTTGGCTTTCAGGCCTGAAGGGTGTGGGGAGCCTTGTGGCCCAGTTGGTGCCCAGAGGAGAAGGGCAGGAGGTGGGGTATGGGTGTGTCGGGGGTGTGTCAAGGCATAGCTGGGGTTGGGGGAGGAGCAGGACTCCTATCAGCCCTGGAGAGGCAACCCGGACAAGGAGAAGCAGCCTTGCTTGTGGCAGGAGCAGAGCTCGGGGTGGGGGGTGGGGGAGTGGGGTTCTGCAATAGGAGCCTTTCCCAATCGCCTCCAAAGGCCTGGCGGGGGGTGGGGGCAGGAGAGGCCTCCTGCTCATTGGTCCTTAGCTGAGTGGGGAGGTGACAGTTGGATAGGAGCCCTCTGGGGACAGGGAGCTGCACCCTCTCTGCTTGCTTAGGTCCCTTGGGAAGAGGGCAGGTCCAGGCTCCCCAGCAGGGCCTGTAGGGACAGAGCTGTGCACCCCCAGCAGGCCCCAGCACACCCCTCCCCCTGCAGATAGAGCTTAGGTTCTGGAACAGTCGGGGTGGCACAAGAGGAGGGGGATGGGGGGTGGGGGCTGGGGCTTTGGACACAGACCCTGGGGGGCGAGGCTGGTTCTTTGGGTACAACTGTCTCTTTTTCAGCAGCCACACCCGGATCTGGCCCCTGCTGGTGCTTGGACACATCTGTGGGGGGTGGGGGGACCCAGGCAGGAAAGGCGGGTTGGAAGGGAGCGCGGGAGGGAGGGGCCAGCGGAGGGGGTGCTCAGGGCTCGGACTGGTCACCCGCAGACTTGTCCTTGGGGTGGTTGATGGGCTGCCGCTGTTCCTCCTCCATGCCCGAGGCCTCGGAGCCTCCGTCCATCTGGGGGTACACCACCACACACATCTTCTGGCTCACCAGGGTTATCCACTCTGGGGAAAGGTGAGAGGGAAACAGGTTGAGTGCAGAGTCCCGGCTCACAGCCCAGCAGGCCTGGCCTCACTGAGCTGCGCTGACCCTCCTTCCTGAGGCCTGGGTATCAAGCAGACCACCCCCACCCACTCAGTCCCCGCCCCTGCCGCCCTGTCCTGATTTAGGGCCTTCCTGGCCTCCACCCAGCCCAGCTGACGCGTCCCGCACCCTTGGTCTGAGGTTTGTGTGGCAGCATCAGCCGGAAGTTTCCCCTGACCCCCCCTATGGCCTCGAAGAATCACCGTCTCCTTCCTCAGAGCTTGGCGGGCCAATTGGGGGCCGACCCCACAGGCATGGACAACTCGGGGCCTCTGATCACTTACCAATGAACTTGTTGAAGCACTGGGGCTTGTGCTGCCAGTAAACTCCCATGAAGTAGACAGGCACGCCCGTCAGCATGATGGCCAGGCCGATGCCACACACTACAGGCTCCGACCACAGGCTGAAGATCAGCAGGAAGGCCCAGAACAGCAGGTAGATGATGGGGAAGAGCAGGCTAATCTGTAGGGCAGACGCACCATCAACCTGGCCCAGATGGGTAGGGCCGCTCCAAGCACGTGGGGCTTCCCTCTACGCCTAGTCCTGATCGGGCAGGGCTACACTGGCCCGTGTGGGTGGATGAGGGCAGCGGGTTCGGGAAGATGGTGGGAAACAAGTGAGGGAGACACCCCCTCCCAGCTGTGCCCGTGGGGCAGGATCAGAGGAGGGGAAGAAGGGAACCCCCGCTGACACCAGGCTCTCTCTTCCCTTCTTGTCCATTTCTCGGCTGGAGAACCCAAAGAACTTGAGCATATTCTGTCCTGAGCCACTCTTCCTCTTTCTTTCTTAGGGGGACCATACCTGGCAGTGCTCAGGAGTTACTCCTGATACTGTGCTCAGGAATAACTCCTGGAGGGCTCTGGGGAACATATGGGATGCCGGGAATTGAGTCATATGCAAGGTAAATGCCCTCCCCGCTGTACTATGGCTCCAGCCCTTATAATTATTTCTTGTATTGATGAGTAGGTTCACGGGGCAGCCTATCATACTTGGACCAGGTAGTTGACATATTTTTGGCTTGGGGTCCATACCTGTCCATGCTCAGGGCTTACTCATGGCTCCCCACTCAGGAGACTATAGGGGTGCCAGCGATTAAACCTGGGGGCAAGGCAAGTGCCTTCCTCGCTGTACTATCTCTGGCCCTGGACCATGGTGATTTAAAAAGGAAGAAGTGGGCTGGGGAGCAGCTCCAGGACAAATGCACTTTACAGACCAGAGGCCGAGATCCCAATCCCCGGGACCGCATGGTCCCCTGAGCACTGCTGAGAGCTACTCCCCAGCACGGAGGCAGGGTAGCCCCTAAGCACTCTCAGGTGTGCTTCCCCTCTCCCAGATGAAAGAAATGAAAAAGGGAGGAGCATGGGGGCTGGAGTGATAGCACAGCAGGTAGGGCGTTTGCCTTGCACGCAGCCGACCCGGGTTCAATTCCTAGCATCCCACATGGTCCCCTGAGCATCGCCAGGTGTGACCCAAAAAAAAACAAAACAAAAAATAAGAGGTAGTGTTTGGAGCTCAGGTAGGAAATGGCAGGAATGTGGGTAGGCGGGTGGCAGAGCAAAACTCAACGAGAGCCGAGTTTCATAGACTGGAGATAGTGCACAGGGGAACCCAGCTCTGAGGAAGGGCAGGCCAGAGGGCCCGGGACTGCTGACCAGGTCAGGCAGGGAGCCTTAATGGAACAGTGGGAGTTTTGGAGTCCTGGGGGACAAAGGAATGAGGTCATGGGAGAACAATTGCCCAAAGTTACTGTCCTGGTCCTACTCTGGAGTGGAGGAGGATGGAAATGCCTTCCCCCAACAGATACAGATACACCCATCACAGCCATCACACACACACACACACACACACACACACACACACACACACACACACAGAGCTCAGATAGCCTGCTGCTATCTAAGAGGTGATGACTTCAGCACTCAGCAGCTGAGCACAAGGAGATCCCAAAGTCTGAGCTGCACCTATGGAACTCCTCAAATTTAAAAACAACAACAACAAAACACTGTCCTCCCGTTGTTCATCAATTTGCTTGAGGAGGCCCAGTAATGTCTCCATTTAAGACTTGTTGTTATTGTGTTTGGCACATATATATATATATTTTTTTTTAATATGGAACACTTCACAAATTTGCATGTCATCCTTGCACAGGGGCTATGCTAATCTTCTCTGTGTCGTTCCAATTTTAGTATAGGTTCTGCCGAAGCGAGCACTGTGTTTGGCATATTGAATACGTCACGGGTAGCTTTCTTTGCCGTGCAGGCAAGATACTCTCAATAGCTTGCCGGGCGAAGGAATCAATCGAACCCAGCTCGGCTGGGCCAGCTGTGCACAAGGCAAATGCCCTACGGCTGTGCTATCGCTCCAGCAAACAAGACTAGAAATACCCTCTGAGCCATCTAGTCCCCTTCTGGGTGTACCCCCCAGAGACAGCAAAAACAAGGAATCTGAAGGTCTGGCTGCACTCTCATATTCTCTGCCGCAAACTCATTAACAGTCCAGCTTGGGCAGGAGCGATGGTACAGCAGACAGGGCGCTTGCCTTTCATGCTGCTGACCCGGGTTCAATTCCCGGCACCCCAGATGGCCCTTGGAGCATAGCCAGGAGTGATGCCTGAGTGCAGAGTCAGGAGTAACCCTTGAGCATTGCTGGTTGTGGCCCCAAAACTTAAAAAGCAAAAGTCAAGGAAAGTGCCCACCAGTGGATGAGTGGGTTTGAGTACACAATGAGGTAATCCTCAGCTCTAAGGAAAGATGAAACTGGGCTGTATGCAACACCACAGGGAGATGCAGGGGGTTATGCTAAGTGAAAAAAAGCAGAAGAATCTTATCCAAAGAGCAAAATACTGCTTGTTTTTTCGTTTGTGTTTTTTGAGCCTCACCCCAGAGTACTCAGGGTCTCCTCCTGGCTCTGCCCTCAGGGACCACTCCTGGCAGGTATTTGGTGGGGGGATATATGGTACAGGTGAGTGACTGAACCTGGCTCACCCTGTACTACCTTTCCAGTCCCAAAAGGACAAATACTCTGATTTCACTGCCATGTGGGCTACAGAGAAACAAAGGGGATATGCAGAACCAGAGAAGAGTGAGTGGGAGTGAGTGGTGGTGACCAGGAAGAGGCTGCAGGGACCGAACAGGGGGACAGCTGTCGGGTGGCGGATGGGAACTAGACTCCCGTCAGCAAGAACAATGCGGCACAGATGGAGAATGAAGAGTCTGGACACCTGGAACCTTGGCCATGCTCTAGGCCAGTGCTCTAGGGGGTGGCTACGCAGGGGCCTGCTCCTACCTTGATGGGGCGCGGGATGTCCGGCTTCTTCCAGCGAAGGACTATCTGTCCAGCCACCGTGACCCCGTAGAAGAGGTAGTTGATGAAGCCCACGTAGTTGATGAGTGTGTACATGTCACTGGTGACCAGCATCAGCAGGGTGGACAGGCACTGGGAGCGGGAGGAGCGTGTCAGTCATCGGAGATGTACAGCCCCCACCCCAAGAAGATGATGGCATTGATTTAGTTATTCACTTTGAGGTTTGGGACCACACCCGGCAGTGCACAGGAACCATTTCTGGCAGGCTCGGGGGAACCACATGAAACATGAATCAAACCGAACCTGGGTGAATCAAACCCAGGTCGGCCATGTGCAAGGCAAGCGTCCCACCCACTATACTATTGCTCCAGTTTGAAACTCTATTGTTAAATGATGGCACTGAACAACAGGAGTTTCCACCTGGTCACTTGACAATCTCTGCTACTGTGACCTGAGGTACCTAGGCTGCTGAGGACACCTCACTCCCAACAAGTTCATGTGTATGTGTGTGCGTGTGCATGCGTGTGTGCTGAGGATCAAACCCCAGGCCTCATACATGCAAAGCAGGTGCTTTATCCGTGAGCATACAGCCCTGGCCAGGATGTTCTTTCTCCTCACTGGACGATAATGAAAATACTTAGCTGGCTTGGCACAAGCCCAAGCAATCAGAATAGATATTGGCCATAACAACTGGGTAGGTCGCCCCACTGGCACCAGCACTGTCTAGCATATGTCCTGTGTCTCCTTGGGCTGTGGTTTTTGTCCCTTAGGGAAGATTGTTAACTGCAGAGTAAGCTTTTTCCTTGCTGCCATCTTCCTCTCCTGGATGACTCACCTAGTTTATTTTCCTCCCTTCCTTCCTTCTCTTTCTTCTTTCTGTTGTATCATGAAATCAAATAGCACTCACTAGGTGCCATGCCCTGTTCTTAGCATCTACAAGTATGAATTTGGGGGCCCAAATGACAATACAGCAGGTAGGGCTCTAAGTGTTAAGTCTTGATGCATTCTAAGAAAATGAAAGGTAAGTGAAATAGTGTGAAGTGTGAAGCTTGTTAAATTTGGCCTATTTTGTACATTTCTGTCTCTGGCCCAAAAGGCTGGGGTAATGGCGGTGAGAGCAAGTCTGAGTGTCATTAATTATTTCAAGATTCAGAGAGTGTGTATAATACCTGGCAATGCTCAGAGCTTACTATTCCTGGCTGTGAGCTCAGGGATCCTTCCTGGTGGTCCTCAGGACCATATAGGATGCCAGGGATGGAACATGGGCTGCCTGTCTAGAATGCAAGTGCCCTACCCACTGTAGTCCTTCTGGCACTAGGTCTCAGGTTTTTCCTCAGCTACTTCTTTGGAGCAGAGAAACCCCTGGAGTGCTTTTTCCAGGTACTCAGACACTGTTTTATACTGCTGGCTTTGTACCAGAGGACATTTTCTTTGTGGCTTTTTACTCTTATTGCTACTTGTTTTTTATTTTTCTCCCTTTTTCCTCCTGTCACTTGTTTTTTAAACTTTATATCTAACCTCTTACAGAAAATCTGCTCATGGCACAATTTGCCTCCAATTCATTCCAAGTTGTACATCTGTTTCCCACTAAAAATTCTACCCGTAGGGCAGGGGATGTAGCTCAGTGGCCAACCACTCACCCTGTATGTGTGAGTCCCTGGGTCAATCCCCAGCAGCCCAAAATAATAATGATGAAGATAATAATAGTAATAATAAAAATAAAAAGGTCTGGGAAGATAGCTCAAAAGGCTGTTGCGATGAAAAGCATGAGAGCAGGGCTCAATCACAGACACACACGGCTCGCTAAGAGCCCCTAGGAGCCAGCTGTGAGCATGGAGCAGCAAATAGCCCTGAGTACTGCTACACGGGGGGCCAGCACGACAGGACAGACAGGACAGGAGGGAGGGCGCTTGCCTTACACGCAACCAACCTGGGTTCTATCCCAGGCATCCCATAAGGTCCCCCAAGCCCACCAGGAGTGATCCCTGAGCCCCGAGCCAGGAGAAACCCCTGAGCACGGTCAGGTGAAGCCCCTAAACAAGAAAATAACAACAAAAAGTAAAATCTAGAACAACAACAAAAAACAGCTTAAGGGGGCTGGAGCAAGAGCACAGCGGGTAGGGCATTTGCCTTGCACGTGGCCAACCTGGGTTCAATTCCCAGCATCCCATATATAGTACCTTGCGCACCACCAGGGGTGATTCCCTGTGCATCACTGGGTGTGACCCAAAAAGAAAAGAAAGAAAAAAAAAACCAGCTTATGTCTACTGCTTTCAAGATGACTTAAGACCCTGTGAAATAGGATGCTGACCAAAACAAAGAGGCCATGTGTGTGGGGGAAGGGGAACCCCAATTCAGTGCAGGTGCAAAGAAGGGGCGGTAGAGCACCTGCCTGGCCAACGCTCGAGCCCTGGCACAGCAACAAAGGCCAAAAAGTTGACTACAGGGGCTGGAGCGATAGTAAAGCAGGTAGTCATTTGCCTTGCATGCAGCCGAATCAGGTTCAATCCCTGGCATCCCATAAGGTCCTCTGAGCACTGCCAGGAGTATTCCTGAGTGCAGAGCCAGGAGGAACCCCTGAGCATCACCTGTTGTGGACCAAAAAGCTGGAGGAAAAAAAAAAAAAGCCTGACTACAAAGATGAGGGTGGATCAGGGCTACCAGGAGTCGCTTACCGTGAAGAGCAGGGCTGGGATTGGGGTGCAGCGCTTCACGTGGATCATGGCCAGCACACTAGGGAGATGGCCCTCTCGGGCTCCAGCAAAGAACAGTCTGGCAGAGAGAGAAGCAGGTCAGTCTGGGCCAGCCGTGGACCACCTGGGGAGGCCCCCTCCTCTGGGCCCACACTGCCTGTGCGGTACACCCCTCCCAACCCATGACCCCTCTTTTGCAGCCACGTGCGCCCTTCTCGTCCCTGGTCACAGGGCACATGCTTACAGGTGCAACTTCAGGCAAACCTGAAGCTGCCAGTAACAGTGACGGGCCCTGGGTGTATGGAGACCCGAGAGTGGATTTGTGCTGTGGCCCTGTGGGTCTCTCTCAATGAGTAAGGTTATACTACCATATCCTAGGGCCAGGGAAGCAGGCCAAATGGAGTCCATGCGTGGCATGCATCAGTCCCAGAGATGGTCAGAGCACCCCTGAGTGACCGACAGTAGCTCTGGTGGTCCCAGAACCACTGGGGAGATCCCCAGAGAAAGTCAAAACAGAGTCTTCTGGCCCAGGAAACAACAGAGAGGTCAGGCCATGTGCTTGCAGGTGTCTGACTGGAGTTGGATCCCCAGCACTGCATGGTCCCCCCTTCCTCTGCCCCAAGCATCACAAGCATCAAACCATCCCTCCTGGGTGGCCAGGATCACTGGCAGTGGCCCTCAGGCCCCCTCAGCACTATTTGGGAACCTCCCTAATATGTCTCAGGGGGGTGGGGCACTGGGGATATAGTCCATGCAGTAGGATGCATGGTGGCAGGGGTGATATTTCCAGAAGCATGATTTGGACTATTGTAAATCATGGTGACTAGATGAAAATAAGTGAAGTTAGGAAATACAGGTCTGGACCTAGAGCGATAGGACTATGGGTCAGGTGCTTGCCCTGCACATGGGTGACCTGTTTGATCCCCAGCACCCCATATGGTCCCTGGGCCCTATCAGGAGTGATCCCAGAGTGCAGAGCCAGAGGAATAAGTCCTGAGCATTGCCAGGTGTGGCCCCTAAACAAAACAAAAATACTGCAGATCTAGAAAGATTTGTATCACAAACTAGGATAATGATGTTTAAGCGTTGTTTATTTTTTTAATTTCTGGACCACACCTGGCTGTGCTCAGGGCTAACTTCGGACTCTTTGCTCAGGAATGATGCCTAATAGGGTTCCAAGGATCAAACTGGTCATCACCTGCAACCTAAGTGCCATACCATCTCCAACTCTCTCTGTGACCCCTAAAGCCTGTATTTGTGTATTATTTGGGGGACCACACTAGGCTTTGCTTGGGGTGTATTCCTGGCTCGGTGCTCAGGAGATCGTGCAGTGGACTGATTTTGGGTTGGACAGTGTAAGGCAAGTGCCTCCCCCAGTGGACTATCTCACTGGCCCCAAGATGAATATTTAAGAGAAACGGTAACATTAAACAAGTAGAGCCTTTCTTTCCTTTCCCTACCTCCTTCCTTTAAGCTGGGAGGAGTCACAGTAGTGTGAATTACATCATGTTTTCTTTTTTTCTGAGATTTTTGTAGGGAGAGAATCAGCTGAGGGGTGAGAGGAAGTGGGGGTGGTGGTGGTGGTTGGGTGGGGGGCTGGGTGATGGGACAAAAGCCATCAGCTGTTTGGAGGGTTTCCTCTGGAGAATGTCACTGGCTCCTGCGTGCATGGGGGTAGCGGGGAGACTAGACCCAGCAGCTCCTCTGAGGTGTGGGAGCTTTACACTCAGCCCCGGGTCCCAGAGGCATCCCTGTCTCCTGCCACCATAATCCCGGGCCAGCATGCTGGTGTCATGCAGCCCCGTGCACACCGCTGAGCCCTGGGTGCTTGCTGGGTGGGGCTCCTCATCTCATGCCCAGCCAAGCCCCCCCCCCCCCCGCCCGCTTCCTCCACATGCAGCCCCGGACCACGTGGCTCAGTCTGGCTCGCTCCAAGAGCATTGCAAATGTCAAGTTCACAGGAGACCGTCCCTGCCCAGACAGTGACATGAAGCGTGACATACACCCACACACACGCCTACTCCTCAGGAATGATCAGCCCCCCCACCCCCACCCCAACCGATGAGGGAGAGAGAAGAAGAGGGGAGGGGTGGGGGCGAGGGGCTGAGGAGGCCGGTGGTGCCGGTGGGGGCGCCTCTGCTCCCGCATGCACACACAGCCCACTGCATGCACGCAGACCGCTGCTCGGCCTGCCCACAGGACAAACCCCGACTCTAAGGCCGGTCATTCTCCGCCAGCAGATCCCCGAGGGCCTCCCGGGCCACTGCTCTTCCGCCGCTCGCCCTTGGCTGGGGTCTCCCGGGGGGCACGGCTCCTGTGTAACACGCACACGAGGGTGCTGAGGGTGAGCGACACCAGGACTCGGGGGGCCCGCGGCACCCACACGCCTCCCTACCCTAGGTCCTGAGAACGTACGTGCCTCTCCTTGGTCCTTCCCTGGGCACGACTCCCCAAGTGACTGGGGCTGGAGAGAGGGCGCCAGGGTCCAGCCCAATGGAGGGGGGCCCAAAACCAAGAGAAAGGAAGAAAGGAGGGAGGGAAGGGAGGCAGGGAGGTGGGAGGGAAAAGAAAAAAGAAGAAAAAGGAGAGAAAGTGGCAAAGCAGAGGCTTGAGACATAGTACAGAAGCTAAGGAGTTTGCCTCGCAGGTGGTCCACCCCAGTTCAATTCCCGTCACCATATAGATCCTATTCCTCTAAGCACTGCCACTGGTCACTCCTAAGTACTAAACCAGTAGGGTAAGCCCTGAGCATCACTAAGCATGGCCCAACATACCCCCTCCAAAAATAGGAAAAAGAAAAGAGGGGCTGGAGAGAGAGTACAGCAGGTAGGGTGCTTGCCTTGCACATGGCCGACCCAGGTCTAGTCCCTGTCACCATTTACGGTTCCCAGAGCAGAGGCAGGAATAAGCCCTGAGCATCATGGGGTGTGGCCCAAAAATCCCAAGCAAAGCAAAGCAAAGCAGAGGTCTGGGGCCCATGGCTCTTGCCCATCTTCCCACAGGACAGTGCCGGTCAGTTCGGGCCTCTTAAAGAACCTCAGAGGAAGTGGCGAGTCATAGCAGTGAAATCACCCAGCATCCGATGGCCTCCGAGGTCTAGTCTTGGGTTTGTTTTTATTTTGGGGCCACGCCCAGTAGTGTGAGGGTCTCCTCCCGGCTCTACTCTCCAGGACCAGGTGTCGAGGCTTGGCCATGAGCCACTTCTACCTGCCCCCACAGCTCCATCAAGGTGCGAGGATTGGGAACGCCTGGCCCTCTGAGCATCCGCTCCACTAAGTCTTGGGGTGGGCAATGTGGTGTTGGAGGCACAACTTTCCAATCTTCCCACCCCCAACCCCCACACCCTCTGCTCATCTCTCGGTGGTCCTGAAAAAGCCTCCCCAGAACCATCTGACTGCGGCAGAGAGGGCCCCGAGATGGTCCGGACGACCTGCAGCCTGAGCCCTAAGGGGCCCCAAGCTCCTTTCACAGTGGGGCATTCTAGCCAGCACAGCCTGTTTCCAGGCCCCTGCAGGGGATCTGGACATGCGCAGGGAAACCGGCCACCCAGCTGCCACAGGGCCGCTGACCGCAGCATGGGGACCTGCTGAAAAGGGGTGACGGGGTCCCACCCTGCAGAGAGGCCACATACCTTGCAGGCAGCCACACAAGCGACACACTGCCTTGTCCACACAGTCACACACACGCCCGCATCCAAGCCACTGGCCCTGCCAGGGCACTGCCCAGGTGACCACACAGACCCCAGCGGACAGAGACAAGCCCACCCACCCCAGCATACACACACAGACACCACAGCTGCAGAGGAGGCCGGGCTGGCGCGGACGGACGAACAGACGGACACACACACACATACACTCACCGGGAGGAGGTGAAGAGAGACCCGTTGACGCCTCCAAAGGTGGACAGGGCCACGGAAATGGGCATGATCCAGGCCATGACCCCCAGGAGCTTCTCCCCGAAAGTCTGCGAGGAAACATAAGAAGGTGACTGGGACATGGGAGCAGGGGACCCAGGACCATGTCACTGCCCAGTGTGGTCCCTGGTCCTCGTGGGTCTCTGGCGAAGGTCCCCGGGGGCAGGTGATGACCACACTGTGCAGCTTCCGTTGTATGTTTGGTAGTAAGTGGCTGGAGGAGAGAGGATATGGTGGTGGCGGTGCAGTGTGGCAGCAAGAATGAAGAGTGATCAAGAGAGGGACAATGAGAGAACACACTCGCTATCCTCGCTTATGTCTGGGGAAACCGAGGCACAAGGACTGACCCGGGAAGTGCAGCCAGGCCTGGAGGGGAGCCGCACGTGCGCATGCCTGCGTGAGGGCCTCACTCTCATGCCAGGTGAGGAGGGGCTCAAAGCAGCAGCTCCTTAGAGGAGCCTGCGGGACCTTGTAGCCAGATTCTTCATTGTGTGTCTCGGTTTTTGAGATGGATGCTTACTCACAGGGAGGGGACACCTACATTCACAGAAACCGGGAGACTGGGGGAGACTGCCAGAAAGAAAAGGTTGCGGGGGGGCTGGGCTTCATGCATGTTCCGAGGCCAGCACACACCTGAGGGGGGCTATATGACAGTACCTGTCCCACTGGGAAGGCGAGTGACCATGGGGACAGGCCGACACAGGACCCTGGCAGGCCCAGGTGAGGCCTGGTGAAGTCAGGTGAGGGGGCAGCAGAGCTGGCTTTCCCATGACCTCCGGGACTCACCCCCCCCACACCAAACCCCCGCCAGGGTCAGCTGGATCTTTCCCCAGGACAAGCGGGGCTGACTTCCTGTTTGCTGGCTCTCTCTCTGCCCTCTGTGCACAGTCGGGGAACGGAGGTAGAGAGCACGGTGGGGCGCCAGCACTTTGCAAGAAGGAGCCTGCACCCCTGTCACAGCAGGAGAGGCGGACGTACTTGGCTGCAAAGGCGGCCAGGGTTAAGCAGCTTGGCTCTGTGGTCCCACACTCAAGAGGGCAGCTTCGCAATTCTGCTGGTCCAGGTACAACCTGGGGTGAGCGTGTGCCTGGGCACTGAACAGCGGTTTGTGCCCTGAGGACTTGGAAGGGCCTCAACTCCTGCCAGCTCCCAGAAGCCATTTGGGGGCCCGGCAGGCAAAATCTCTCATCTTCCCACCTAGCTCTGCACTTGGCAGAATATGTAGGACTGGGATTAAACCCGGGCCTCCCGTGCGCGCGCGCGCGCGCACACACACACACACACACACACAGCCTGTGCTTCAGCCCTCTCCCGGCCCCAGAGTTGGATTCCTTACCACAGCGACTGCGTTGGAGTCCAGTAGCTCCTGGGGGGACATTGCAGTGACATAAGCGACATTGGCAAAGACATACACAAACGTGACCAGTGGGATGGAGATGAAGATGGCTCTGGGAAGATTCCTGCAGAGGGAGAGGAGGTGAGAGGGGGAGTGCCTGGCACCCATGTTGCTGGCTGGGCACGAGGTCAGGGAATCTCCACCCGCTGGGCCATCCTCTCCGTGGAAGGTGGACGGGATGCAGGAACTGACAGTGGTGGGCATGGGGACCCAGGGTCTCACACTGGAGAAGCCTGAGCTCCACGGCCAAGGCATGTCCCGGGGAGGGGACTTGAAAGTCTGAGGCTAGTAATATGCTCACCCTTGTGATAGATCTCTTCCGGTTCAGAATCTCCCAAGGCACCCCGTTTCCCACCCCGCCTGTCCCCAGATCGCTAGGTCAGGCTCCTGGAAAGCTCAGAGAGCATATTTCACAGGTCACCAAGGCGGAGCTTTTAACCTGCTCAGGGACTGGATCATTCGCCTCCAGGCAGAGTGAATAGCAAATGGCCCAGGTCCCTGGTAAATGAGCTAACCCTGCAGATGCATTAGGTCAAGGTCGGACAGGAGTCAGAGGGAGTCAGAGGGTGTGCATGCGCCGTGTATGTGCGCGCGTGTGTCGATTCCCCCTTTCCTGTGCCAGGTGCTGTGACCTCTGAAGGGCAGGCCAGAAGCTGCCTGGGCTATTTCAACTCACTTGTAGGGATCAACAAGTTCCTCTGTCACGTAATTAAGAAAGTTCCAGCCTCCATAAGCAAAGGAGCCTTGAAGAAAAGCCAGTGCAATGAGGCCAATGTCGGGATCCTGGAAGTTCTCAAATGCGTTCTTTGGCTCCAGCCAGAAGTATCTTCCTGTGGATGCAAAGGGTGGGTACCCACTCAGAGACAGGGCAGGCCCGAGAAAGCCTGGCAGCCACTTCTGTCTCTGCCTCTCCCTGCAGCAATGATCAGCTGTTTCTCATCTCCAGGAAACCCCACGCATCGAAGAAGGGGACCCACCAAGAACCTGATACTCATGAGTCCATCTGGAGGTACAACTTCTAAAAGTACAGTTCTAAAATTTCATTTGAGGTAGGGTTGGGAGCCCTCAGGGGTTGTTCCTGCTGGTGCCTGGGGGACTTCTTGGTGCCAAGAGATCAAATCTGGGCTTCTTGCAATGCAAAGCCTGTATCCTAGCCCTTCCAGCTATCTTCCAGTTCCAATATTCCCATATTCCCTTTTATTTTTTTTTTGGTGCGGGAGGGGGGTAGAGGGGCTGATTATTGCTGCAGAACCACATCAGGCAGTGCTCAGAAGGATCATGTGGTACCAGTGGTAGAACCCAGGCTTCTCGCATGCAAGGCATGTGATATACCGTTTGATCCATCTCTCAAGCCCCCTGAATAATCCTTTCACAGAAGGCAAAATAACTTGGATGTGAAGGTCAGGAGAAGTTCTGAGCAGGGCAGAGGAAGTCAGGCCTCGCTGACTGCGCCTGAGGAATGCAGGATTAAGGCCATCAGCAGTCTCTCAGACATCTTCTCTAGTTTGTTTTTGAGTATTAACCCACATTGGTGCTCAGGGGTCACTCCTGGAAATGCTTGTGAGGTGGGGACACATATGTAGCGCCAGGGATGGGGCTGGGGTTGGTAGCATGCAGGAAAAGCACCTTAACCCTGTGCTATCTTTCCAGCCCTCTACTGACCATTTTCCCTGATAATATGGATTTGGACCCTTTCATGAAAAAGCACCAAGAACAGCAGATACTCAGGCACCGCTTTTCCTAATGTTCTATTGGTTCAAGCTTACTCTGCTTTCTTTTGGTACTGTACGCCTAAGGGGTGTGCTTGGTTCCCTTTCTGGCCTCCTAAGGCTGGAGATCCTTGAGTCAGGAACCATTCGGTTGCCTTTCCAGCCCTTGGCACAGTCTTCCCCACAGCAAAGACCCTTAAGAAAGTTTGTAACGAGCTGCTGAGTAACAGTGCACACTTGCCTCAGTCACCTGCGGATCCAGCACTTGGACAGATGAGAGAGAGAGAGAGAGAGAGAGAGAGAAAGAAAGAGAGAGAGGGAGAGGATGTCGATGGGTCCCATGGGTGACTTACATGAAGCATATCACTCCTAGAATTCTTCTTCCATGAAACTTTGTTAATCCAAGTTTCATTGCCAAGGGCCTTTCCCTATCTACCTGCCTACATCAGAGAGAGATAGGCAGAAGGTGTGGCAAATGGTAAAGCATATGCCATGCAGGTGCCAGGCCCTGTGTTCAATCCCCAGCACTATACACCCCCCCCCCCCAAGCATCAAATCATACCAGCATAAGTTGATTCAGAAAGAGAGTAGCGTGACCAGGAGAAAGCATTAGGGCCACACCAGGAGTCACTATTGTTGAAGATAGCACAGTGATTGACTTAAATCTAAATTCTGCAAACAATATAACCTACTCAAGAACTTTAATCCAACCAATGGAAATACTCGGGTACATTATAGAGCAAAAACTTAATTATGCTTCCTGTAATAACGTTCCAGGTATCCTACACAGCCCTTGGGGGAGGGAGGGACTGTTGGTGATTTGACTCTTGGAGAGGCAGCGACACTGGGCCAAGCGGCATGGTGCCACGGTCCCATGGTAACCAAATACAGGCTCGGACTTGGAAAGGACCAAATCCAGTTGGGAATGTTGGCCAGGGCCCCAGGAATGTAGAGCTCTCTTGAAGAGATTATGAGAATTCTAAAACCTATGAAAAAAAAAAATCCTCTCCTCTATCCTTTAAAATGCAGACAAGACAGAGTGTGAAGAGGGAGGGAGCTTGGGTGGGGTTGTGAAGACAAGAGGTCAGCAGGAGATGGGGGCATGGAAATTCTGCAAGGGGTAGGGTGGGGGTGGGGGCTGATGGCGGGCAGGTCTCCTTCCTGGCTCCCTGAGGGAAACGGTTTCTTTCATGCCAGGGCACAAGTCATTCAAGACCGGAACTCGGAAATCCCAGGGTGCACACACATCCCAGCGCAGAGGGAGATGGTGGGTGTCCCCCAGCACCCCTGCCCCCCGCTCCCGTCCCCCAGGACACTCACCCTTGCAGATCTGCACAACGCCCATGATGATGATGAGCGCGAGGGCCAGGAGCTTCCCAGCAGTGAAAATATCTTGAACGCGGGTGGCCCAGCGCACGCTGGAGCAGTTGACCCATGTGAGCAGCACTGGAACGACAGAGCCCCCAAATACACATTCAGGATACCTCAAAACCCTTCTGGCTGGGGGGATGGGGGGGGAGGAGGCAGCAGGAAGTCTCCCGGCTCCCTGCAGCCAGGACTAGGGGAATATGCAGGCCACAGAGGCGGCCCCAGGCGCAGACACTTTGTCTAGGTTAATGGGTTACAAATAGGGATTATGTGTTGCAAATTAGAGCTTGTCAGAGCCGGTTGGTCCCGACCAGGGCTGGAAGCCAAAAGCAGGCAGGCAAGCAAGCAGGCTTTGTGTGTGCGTGGGGGGAGAGGACCCTAGCATCAGAGCTGGGCCCCCCCCCCCAACAGACCTCGGTTTCCATCACTGTAAGTTACCTTCCTGAGCTTGATTAAGATGAATTATTAAGATCTACTTAAGTGGGCCGGAGCAATAGTATAGCAGGGAGGGCATCTGCCTTGCAAGCAGCTAACCTGGGTTCAATCCCCAGCATCGGTCCTGAAGCAATGCCAGAAGTGATGCCTGGATGCAGAGCCAGGAGTTACCCCAGAGCATCGCTGAGTGTGACCCCAAAAGCAAAAACAAAAACAAACAAAAAATAGATCTACCAAAGTGGGACTGGAGAGACAGTAGAGAAGAGAGGGTGCTTGCCTTGCACAAGGCTGACCCAGCTTTTATCTCCAGCATCCCATTCGGTTCCCCAGGGCCCAGCCAGGAGTGATTGCTGAGCTTCAGAGCCAGGAGTAACCGCTGAGCATCGCCAGGTGTGGCCCAAACACTTAAAAACCAACAACTGTCAAACAACAAACTGTCCTCCCGTTGTTCATTGATTTGCTCCAGCGGGCCCAGTGACGTCTCCATTTTGAGACTTGATGTTACTGTGTTTGGCATATTGGATATGTCACGGGTAGCTTGCCAGGCTTTGCCGTGCAGGCGAGATACTCTCGGTAGTAGATACTCTCAAGATACTCTGCCGGGCTCTTGGAGAGGAGCGGAGGAATCGAGCCCGGCTCGGCCTGGCTGGCTGCGTGCAAGGCAAAAGCCCTACCGCTGTGCTATCGCTCTAAACTACTAAATTATGACTATACATGATAAAAGTATTTTTCAACTTATAGTTTGGTAAGATTTGGCCAACTGTTATTTAAAGTCCCCGACGTGTTGTTCTCTTCTGAAGTCAGTCCCCTTCCCGAGGGCAGGGTTTACTTCTACAATCAATCACTGATTTGAATTCTCTCCCAATAGTCTTACTTTTTCCAGAATTTCTGAGAAATGGAATTATGTCCTGGGACTAGAGCAGTAGTACAGCAAGCAGAGCATTTGCTTTGCTTGAGGCCAACCTGGGTTCAGGTTTGATCCCAGCATCCCATATGGTCCACTGAGCACTGTCAGGAGTGAATCCTGAGTGCAGAGCCAGGAGTACCCTGAGCATAGCTGGGTGTGACACCAAAACAGAAAGGGGGGAGGGAGGGAAGGAAGGAAGGGAGGGAGGGAGGAGGGGAAAAGAAGAAGGGAGGGTGGGAAGGTGGGATGGAGGGAGGGTACTACGTCCTATGTAACTTTTGGCTCCTGACTCTTGGAGTTTGTGCCTTTCTATTATGAGCAGTATTCCATCTAATGAATGTTCTGCATCAGTTTCATTCCAAACTGGACTCTGGGTTATTCCCAGTTCGGGGCTATTCTGAACAAGGCTGCCACAGACACTTGCCGAGATGCCTATGAGTGGATTGTGGACATCTCTGGGCAGAGTTTTAATTTCTCTGAGTAAATAAACACCCAGGAGTGGGATTCTGGACCCCAAGGTAAATGTGTGTTTAAGAACTGCCAGGTTGTCTCCCACAATGTCCTGCCACAGTGTGCCACGCACCAGCCTGGCACCAAGGTCCGGCCACTAACTCACCAGCACCTGATGTTGCAAGCTGCAAAAGCCCATCTAGTTGGAGCGACAATAGTGGGTAAGGCACTTGCCTTACATGCAGCCAACCCAATTTCAATCCTTGGTGCCCATTATGGTCCCAGAGCTCGCCAGGAGTGATCCCTGAGCACAGAGCTAGGAGTAAGTCCTCAGCACTGTCAAGTGTAGCCCAAAAAACCAAAGTCCATCTGTACTAAGAGTTGCACAACAGAATGTTATGGCGACTTTGCCATGCATCTCCCGAGTGAACAATGAGAATGCTGTCCTCGACTTACTTGCTGCCATCCCTGTATTTCTCCTGCAGAGTGGGGGCTGGGTTTGCTCAGCCTCTTGGCCTAGGACTCATCAGCTCCCTTGAAGGTTCAACCACATAGATGGAACTGATGGAGGCTGCAGAGGTGTTCAGAGTCGAACAACAGCACAGAGGGGCTCTCCCTCACAGACACACCCTGTAAGCCTGTGGGTTCAATGTCTACTGCCCTGCCATGGTCCATGGACCAGAGGGAGTAATTTCTGAGCCAGGAGTAACCCGTGTACAAGGCCGGGTATGACCCAAAAGGCAGAAAAAAAAAAAGAGAGAGATTGAGCCCATCAAAATGTAAGCCCTAACCAATCAATCTGCAAAAAAAAAAAAAAAAAAAAACCCAAACCCCAAAAACCTGTAGCACTGTCCTCCCGTTGTTCATCGATTTGCTAGAGCGAGCCCAGTAACGTGTCCATTGTGGCAATTGTTACTGTTTTTGGCACATCGAATACGTCACGGGGAGCTTGCCAGGCTTTGCTGTGCAGGCAAGATACTCTCAGTAGCTTGCTGGGATCTCTGAGAGGAGTGGAGGAATCGAACCCGGCTCAGCTGGCTGGCTGAGCAAGGCAAATGCTCTACCGCTGTGCTATCGCTCCAGAAAAAAAAAAAAAAAAAGAAAAGAAAAGAAAAAGGAAAAAACATCCAAAAAACTTTAAAGGGCCATGGGGTGCTCGCTTTCCCTCCCGCAAGCTCGCACTCTCTTTCTCTCTCTCTCTCTCTCTCTCTCTCTGTCTGTCTCTCTCTCTCACACACACACACACAAACACAAGGGTCCCGCATAAACTCTGGCTTTGCCCTCCTAAAGGAAAGTGGCAGCTGGAATTAATCCTTTTCTCTTGCTAATAATCTCATTAACACAAAAATTTCCGCTTTATACAACTGCTGAGTGCTAGACTGGATTCTCAGAATAAAGTCAGTCAGACCTCAAATTCATTTGTTAGCGTTTCCTGTTTTTGAGGGGTGGGGGCTCCCCGCAGGTACTGGGGATTGGAAAAGCTGCCCGGTACAGGTCAGGCCTATGCTCTCTCTGGCCTCTGAGCTCACTACAGCCTGACTCTCCTTTCTGCTTTTCAGTAAGGATCACTCACTGCAGAACCAGGGGGCTGGGCCTCTCCAGCAATGCCCAGAGGAAGCCCAGAGCTGTGCTGCTGCTCAGTGACAGTGCTCAGGGTTACATTCAGGATTAAAAGGACAGAGGGGGAGGCAGTGCTGGGGACTGTGGGGTTTCTCACATGGTAGGCATGTACTCCATGACTCCGAGTCATCTCCTGAGCCCAAATTTCCTACCGAGCCGTGCTCATCAGTTCTCCGGCTCAAAGCTTAGGGGGACATAACAGTGGCAGGGACCAAACCCAGGCTCCCACAGCAAGACTGTGCTCCAACCGCCTGCCCCTGTTCTTAAAAATTAGGTTTTCGGGCTGCGCTGAGCAATACTACAGGAGTTACTCCTGGCTCTGCACTCAGGAATTACTTCTGGCTGTGCTATAATCCCTTCCAGGAGATTGAACCCAGGTGGGCCGCGTCAAGGCAAACACCCCATCTGCTGTATCATTGCTTCAACCCCATATTCCAGTCTTTTGAGCATCTTCCCCGGCCCAAATTTTCTTTTTATTTGCTTAATGGCTTTTGAATAGGGTGCTTGACACAGGCAAGTGCCCTACCCACTCTTGTATGACTTCTCCAGCCCAAGTCCCCTTTCTGAAAAACACATATAAACGTGTGAGATTCTCTCCTCAACCTCTGACTTCACACAGACATCAGGTTGTATTATCCTGAAACTCGGCTTTGACTGCCCAACTATCTCCTAAGCTTATCTGAGCCGAAGAACATTTCAGCAGAGTCAGGACTCAACATGAGTCTCCACCTTTGACCTGTTCTTTCTCCCTGTGCTGACTCCACCTGGCAAACTTCCAACCTTTAAGATCCAGCTCAAATGTCACCTGTTCCATGAGTCTGATAGTGCTTATTCCTTAACAAGGTGCCTGGCAGGCCAGATCTCTCAGCCATGCTTTACAGATAAAGAATGAAATTTGTTCGACTCTTAGATCTCTGCATTTCTTTACTTTTTACAGGTCATTATCAGCTGCAATGGGCTGTGGATTCTGGGGTCCAAAGACCAGGTAGGTGCTCCCAAACACTCAGTCCTGAGCACTCACTGCCTGCATTATCAGAATCAGTTCCTGGGGCAGGAGAGATAGGACAGTGGGTAGGTCATTTGCCTTGCATGCAGTCAAGCTGTGTTTGATCCCTGGTCCCCACCAGGAATGATCCCTGAAAGCAAAGGCAGGAGTAAGTCCTGAGTACAGTTGGGTGTGGCCCAAATACAAAAACCAGAAACTGGTGTTTTTTTTTTTTTAACCTCCCTCCCTGTCTCTTTGTAGAGGAGGGCAGGAACTGAGCTTTTTCTCTACATTTTGAATCCCAACGCATGGCAGGGCATCTACACCTCAGCAAACACTACAAACAAACATCTACACTGACACCAAGAAAACGTCTCAGGGGCCAGAGTGATAGTACAGAGGGTAGGGCGTTTGCCTTGTACATGGCCCACCAGAGTTCAATCCCCGGCATCCCATATTGGTCCCCCAAGCACCGCCAGGAGTGATTCCTGAGTGCAGAGCCAGGAGTAACTCCTGAGCATAGCAGGGTGTAGCCCAAAAAGCCCGCCCCCCCCCGCAAAAAAAAGCTCTCAATTCATTAGCTCTCCAATCTCAGCTCATTCTACACTCTCCACAAGGCATACCCATTTTCCCTGCTCCTCAGCAATCTCACAAAAAACGGCACAATTCCCAGTAGATTTC